ACACACACACACACACACAGATACACGTACAGACACACACACACACACACAGACACATGTACAGACACACACACACACACACACACGCATACAGACACACACACACAGACAGACAGACAGACACACACACACACACACACAGCAGATAGTACATACTCACACACAGCAGATAGTACATACTCATTTGACAAAGTTTCCTCGCAAGGCTGTATTTTCTCTCCATCACTGATTTTAGAAACTGAAATGGGGGGGAAAAGCACACAAAAAAAAACATGTTACAATGAATTTGCCATATTTAGGCAACTCTGGAATTCCTTATGTTTGCAAAAATATTATCAAAATCATGTAGAATATTAAGGTAAATGCACCATTGGTACAGGATTTGCTACTTGGATCATTTTTGGAATGACATTTATCAATACATGTACCTCTTTACCTCTGCAAATAACAGGAGGGGGGCCCTGCGAGAGTCATGGAGAACCTCACTGCATGGCCCCTTGCGGTCCTCAGGGGTGCCGGGGTTCTCCTGAATAGCCTCGGACTGTGGGAACGCAGCTCGGCGGCTCCGCAAGGTTCTTGGTCCATACTGCTCCACTCCGACCTTCTTGGTTGTTTCCTCTAACATAACATGGGCCACCAAGTCAGAATCAGAGTACAATTCATCCATCACATACTTAGTCACGAAAATCTTAAAAGGTGAGGCTGAACAACATTGCATAGCCTAACGTTTACAAATGAGTCCTAATGGGAAACTAAACCCAAAAAGTAGCAGTAGTACATTTTCAATGTCTTTACTATTTAAGCTAACTGTATAAAGTTAGAGCCATTTTTTACAGTTAGAACTCATGTCTAAGCAGTACCAATTAATTCAGAAAATCTAAATGCTAAGAATTTCTTCAGATCCCTGTCCAAATCTGGAATACTGAGGGTCTGGCCTCTTTGCATGATACAGATACCCGCTGGGGGGGGCCAGCGCACGTCTTCTTTGGTCTACCCCCTACTGCACTTCACTCTACAGGTGGCAAGGTTTCATCAAGCTGTGTGGCGGTTAAGTGCACATAGTGCTGCAGAGGGCAGGTGCTGGAATGGGGGGGCCCTGATCCCTTGGTAAGTTTTCATGATCGGGGGAGGGCCCCCTTAGGAGATTTTGTGTGATCATCGGTTATTTAAAAAAAAAAAAAAAAAAAAAACCAGCTCTTGGAACATCAAGAGCACTTCCAATCATTCCTGCTGTGCGGCAAGCTTAGAGGCCAGCTGAAGAAAAGGGCTCTTGGGTGGGCTAGCAGAGGGGTGGGCCCATGGTTAGCTCCCCAGTCTTAGACTTGCAGTACAAACCCCTCCTCTCCCAGTGCAACTCTGCAGCAGTTACAAAAGGAGAAGGGGGGGGGAGTTTCCTGCCAGCATAACCACTGTACCCCACAAATTAAAATCAAAATTCCCTTGGGAGTAACAGGAAATAGCTGAAAATATGAAGTTATAAAACATCTAAAACCACATAACCTTTATGTGAGGTCAGTTTCATCAAGCCTGGTAAAGTAAAACTGTAAAATATGATTAGTACCTGCCGGATGAGGAGGAAAGCATTTTGGTTTGGTGTTAATGGATCTGATTAAGGCGTGCTGCCCAGGAATAGGGGTTCCAGCATATTTTTCATCCCTGAAATGAAATTCAATAAAACGTCACTTATTTGACGGCCGATGAGTATGAAGCACTTTGGATTCCATGCTCTATGCCGCTACACTCCATGAAACAGCCCCTGGTGCATGGCCTCCAGTGAGACAGTCTCTCCAGAGCCCACCGCCCCGCACTGCCTACTGTCCACGCAGTGCTCCTCATTAATCACTCTGCAATGAGTCGACTGGCTTAACCCTCTGGGACACCCAACCATCCATCCAGAGATCCATTTTCTAACCGCTTATCCAACACAGGCTTATGAGGAGCATGAGGCCTTCCACAAGGAAAGGGACTCCCCGGGCGGGACGGCGGACTCCCCGGGCGGGACGGCGGACTCCCCGGGCGGGACGGCGGACTCCGAGACTGCCCTCACATCAGGAAGGACTGACACACTATTACACTGCTTCTCTGTTTCATGGAATCATGCCTTCAATGGAACATGTACAACTACGAATTAAGACTAAGCAAAGACACTGCAAAACTATCTATACCTCAGTACATTTGGTATGACAGTAACAATTTCATTAGAATCCCCTTCCAGCCCTTGTTGTGCGTTTGTCAGTGACAGACAACCCTGAGCCCCACCCACTTTAGTAACAAAACCACTCCAAACTATTTCTAACAATTTTGGTTGTTATTATTCTTTATCATCATCATCAATCAATCAATCAATCAGTCAGTCAATCTTAAACCTTGGCCAGTTAATTCACTGGTGTGATAAACTTATAGCCTGACAGTTAATAACGTGATAACATTATAGCCTGATTGGTGAATTTTTTATTGATAGCACTCCCACCCGCACCAAGACCAGCAAGTTTTTCCGGTAGCACCCTGTGCTTTGATTAGCAGATTGATGTTCCATCATTTTCAATTCCCTGTCATTTCTCTTTTGGCCCACAAATGCAATTTTAACACTGAAAATGCCAAGAACATGGGGTAGATGTAACAAAATCCACGTGTTTGATCTGATGGTTTAAATGTGTTAAGTCTATTCCACAACTTTGTTCAACAACTGCCCCCAGTCTCCCCCTCACAGGCCTAATGGTGGTGTGATTGATCTGCTGGGAGTGGAATCACACCAGCAATTTGTTCTAGATAACCAGCCTCTGTGTCGTAGACAATGCGAGATTTCATCGCTTGATGAAACATCTGGAACTAAGGTACAGCTTGCCATCTAGAACATATTTCTGAGATTGTAATCACTCGAGTACAGTTCAGGCAAACTCTCACCGAGGAAAAAGTTAAAGATGTCCAGATGGATGAGTTTCACTACAGATAGTTGGAGCTCGGATGCGTGTCCTCTCGTGTGTAACTGTACATTGAGTGAAAGGGCAAAGAGCTTTCAGAGTGTGGTGGTACAAGTTGAAGAACTTTGTGGATCACACACCCACACTTCACTTTCAGATGCCACCAAAGAAATGCTGGATACGCAGAAAATCCCACTAAAAGTGCACGCAATTGTGCAAGACGGCACCATTACCAATGGGAGAAGTTTTAGCATTTTATTTGCAATTCTTGATCTCTTTAAACTAGCTAATATTTTCACAAATTTGCTACAAATGTTCTAGTACCCTTTTTTGGCATACTTTCTCATTGGTATTTACTACTTTGGTACTCCTGTTGACCGATAGCCTCTGTTCAGGTATCAGAATCATACTGGCACTGGAAAAGTGGGATCGGTGCACCTCTACAGAAGCTATGCAGTGTTTTTACACAAATTCCATGAACATACAAGTCTGTTGTTGCTGCAAATTCATCATTGTACCTGACACATGCTGCTCCATAACTTAGTAAAAATGTCATTACGACGAGAACTGGAAACCACATTATATTGTACCGTTTTTTTTTTATTTTATTTTTTAACACATGAGTTTTAGAATATTGTGATCATCAATATTCTCGAATAGTGACATTTTTAGGACATACCCCACCCTGGTCAAACCCATTTCATGGAATGGAACAGAGAGGAGGGGTGGGGGGGGAGCCCAAAGGGCTTTAAAAGGGATAGGGGGGGGGGCAAAAACCTAGCATCAAGATCTATGGAGATTTCTAGTGCTACGTTCATTCAATTCACCACCTTTTCTTATATTCTGTATCTGTTAAAAGGGCAATTCTAAAAGAATTAAGCAAAAAAAGTCACACTTAAATAATGACTTTGCTTATATTATGATTTTTATATATACACACACACACACACACACACACACACACACAAATATATACACACACATATACACACACACACACACTCACTGCCTTTGAGACATCTGAGGGCACAGAGCCCGAGGGTGCTGGGGGGGGGGGGGGGGGTTTGCCCATCACTGGGGCTGAGGTGGCCAGGGTGGTTAAAGAGCTCCGTGGTGGCCGGCCCCCGGGGGTGGACGAGATCCGCCCAGAGTACCTGAAGGCTCTGGATGTTGTGGGCCGTCGTGGCTGACACGCTTTCTCAACAGAGACCGCTGGATTGGCAGACCGGGGTTGTGGTGCCCTTATTTAAGAAAGGGGACCGGAGGGTGTGTTCCAACTACAGGGGGATCACACTTCTCAGCCTTCCTGGGAAAGTCTATTCTGGGGTACTGGAGAGGAGGACGAGATCGATAGTCGAATCTCGGATTCAGGAGGAACAATGCAGTTTTCGTCCTGGCCGTGGAACACTGGACCAGCTTTATACCCTTGCAAGGGTACTGGAGGGGGCCTGGGAGTTTGCCTATCCAGTCTACATGTGTTTTGTGGATTTGGAGAAGGCTTACGACCGGGTTCCCCGAGGTGCTCTGTGGGGGGTGCTTCGGGAGTATGGAGTCCGGGGTCCACTGTTGTGGGCGATTCCGTCCCCGTATGAACGGAGCAGAAGCTTGGTCCGCATTGCCGGTAATAAGTCGGACGTGTTCCCGGTGCGGGTTGGGCTCCGCCAGGGCTGCCCTTTGTCATCGGTCCTGTTTATAATATTTATGGACAGGATTTCTAGGCGCAGCCAGGGTGTTGAGGGTGTCCAGTTTGGTGGCCTCAGGATTGCCTCGCTGCTTTTTGCAGACGATGTCGTCCTGTTGGCTTCATCTGCTGGGGATCTCCAGCGTGCTCTGGGGCGGTTCGCGGCCGAGTGCGAAGCGGCGGGGATGAAGATTAGCACCTCCAAGTCTGAGACCATGGTTCTTAGCTGGAAATGGGTAGATTGCCCTCTTCAGGTCAGGGAAGAGGTACTGCCTCAAGTGGAGGAGTTAAAGTATCTCGGGGTCTTGTTCACGAGTGAGGGTAGGCGAGATCGGGAGCTGGACAGACGAATCGGAGCAGCGTTTACAGTTTTGCAGCAGCTTAACCAGTTCATCGTGGCTAAGAAAGAACTGAGCCAGAAGGCAAAGCTCTCGCTCTATTGGTCCATCTTTGTCCCTACCCTCACCTATGGTCATGAGCTATGGGTATTGACTGAAAGAATGAGATCACGAATACAGGCGGCCGAAATGAGGTTTCTCCGCAGGGTGTCTGGGCTCTCCCTTAGGGATAGGGTTAGAAGTTCGGATATCCGGGAGGGTCTCAGAGTAGAACCGCTGCTTCTCCACGTAAAAAGGAGCCAGTTGAGGTGGTTTGGACATCTGGTGCGGATGCCTCCTGGGCGGCTACCCGGAGAGGCTTTCCGTGCATGTCCTACAGGGGGGAGGCCCTGGGGCACGCTGGAGGGATTACATCTCTCGGCTGACCTGGGAACACCTCGGCGTCCTCCCCGAGGAGCTGGTGGAGGTAGCTGGGGAGAGGGAGGTCTGGGTATCTCTCCTGAAGCTGCTACCCGAACCACAGACAAGCGGAAGTTAATGGATGGATTTTTTTTTGTGTGTGTGTGTGTGACATATATATATGTCCATTTTGGACAATTTCATGCTCCCAACTTTGTGTGTGGGGATGCCCCCTTCTTATTCCAACATGACTGCGCACCAGTGCACAAAGCAAGGTCCATAAGGAAATGGATGAGCGAGTCTGGTGTGGAGGAACTTTACTGGCCTGCAGAGACCTCTGACCTCAACCCGATAGAACACCTTTGGGATGAATTAGAGCGGACACTGCAAGCCAGGCCTTCTTGTCCAACATCAGTGCCTGACCACACAAATGCTCTCCTGGAAAAATGGTCAAATTCTCAGAAACACTCCTAAACCTTGTGGACAGCCTTCCCATAAGAGCTGAAGCTGTTATAGCTGAAAGGGGTGGGCCACCTCCATATTAAAGCCTATGTATTAAGAATGGGATGTCATTAAAGTTCATGTGTGTGTAATGGCAGGTGTCCCAATACTTTTGGCAATATGGTGTATCACACAGCCCAAATGTGATCACATAGTGCACCTTGGTCCCTATTAATGTTGAAACAAAACCTTTGCCCTTGACCCAGCTCCAATGTCCTTTCCACCTCCAGACAAAATGTATAGGACTGGACATCTGCCATACCAGGCATCTTTCTGGTAGGCCGGTGGGTATGTGAGCAAAATGGAGACCCGTCTCTGAGGAGGGGCAGGGCCCCGGGCAAGCCAATTTATTTGGGGCCCAAGCGGAGGCCAACATAAACCAATTAATGGAAATCATTGAGACTGCTGCTGGTTGGTCAATGTAATACAGATGCAACTCTAATGAAGAGTAACGCTTGATCACTGAGTCTACAGTGTGACCGTTCTGGACTAGTTCCAGTGCCAAATAGTAGAGTGGCCACACAGGTTACATTAGCCTAGGCTATGAGATCACATGTCTAACATAAGACTTATTAGGTTAAGTGGATATTTAGCAGGGGTGCAACGGTACACTAATCACATTGTTTAGTACAAACCTCAGTTTTGGGTTCACAGTTCGGTGCAATTTCAGTACAACTAGGAAAAACAGATAAATTTTAAAATTATTTTCATTAAAATAAACAATTAAGAACAGTTGCAATGCATCAATGGATGCGTTTTCTACAGAGTATGACCACATAGCCTGGTAAAAAGCACCTTAAATGTCACAGAGAGACTGACTTGCAAAGGCCATTTCCGACTTGCTTTGGTTGTACATACATTTGCAAGATGTCTCAAATGAGTTAGCATGTTTTCAGAAACATAGCTCTCTTACACCTTACAGTGTTAACAAAGAGTTTTGGTCTTATCAAACACTCTTTCAAGTGCTTGTGTACTTTGAGAAACCAAAATGTTCCCAACCCACCAATAACTGACTGTAACCATGCATTAGTTGCAACCAACTCACAGCCATAATTAGCATTATGTGTTCCATGTGGAACATCAACTTGTGAATTTAGGTACTGCCCGTGTAATTTAATGTGTTCATTTGTTTCATTGCACATAATGAACAGAAAATGTGCCAAACTGTACAGGTACACGAATAGAATTACAGAATTATTTAGTTAAAAATAGCACAGCTATGTACAAAAAATTAGGCTATTTTATCATTATCTAAGCAAGTTTCCCTTTTGAGCATGCATGGCCCGCTACAAGGATGGGCCCAGTGCAGCTGCACTGACCTAACGAGCAGTTCTAGCAAAATGTACTGTGGGGGACAATTCTTAATCCCAGTCCAGTGCTGAAAATATGCAGGTCCTACCAATTTGGGCACAAACTTAAAACACAGCAAGACAAAATGAAGGCTGCTTGAGCAGGGTGATATGGCGAAATATGATGATCATTTGAATTATATAATTCAAAATCATTTTTTTTCTTTATTTCAAGGCTCCACTGGTGCTTAAAATTCCCTTAGGATTCCACTTAAACAGA